TTTGTGATACAAGGGAGTTGTTGACCTTCCATTGGAGAGACATCGGCCCATAGCCTTTTCCAAGATTCAATATGGTTGAAATTGCTGGAATTCAAGGACTTAGCTCTTAAGAGAGGAGAGATGTCTCGATTTAAGTCGATTTACGATGAGGTCATCGATATCCTGATGAATTGGAATTGTGGATTGCACAATATTTTCCTATATTCCATGAGCAGAGCGTCATCCCTTCGTAGTACAGGCGGGGGATATGACTCAAAATAGGAGTAGATTTAATAGTACCTGTTATGATGCAGGGTAATATTTAATTGGGTGTCTAGTTTTTTAATGTGAGCACTGTTTATCCATACGGTCAAAACTAAGGCAAGAGCAGAGATCCGTAAGGTAGACGCTGAAGAGCCCCATGTAGTTCCACATAATTTTTAGAGGATGTTGTTTCCGGTATTGACCTTAGCAGCAGATTCATCAGATGTGTTTTAAACGACAGAGTCCTGTCCAAAGTGACACCAAGTTATTTCGGGTTCTTATTATATTTCAGTAGATTGTTATAGTCCTAAGGTAGATAAATCTTCTGTCAGTGTCTTCTCAGTTATCGCAAGGTCTTTTGTCTCGTGGCAATCACCCAGTAATCTGCATATCCAAATTTCCTTGCATTTTTTTCAGGCAAGTCAGCTATGTAAAGACTAAAAAGTAGTGGTGCCAGGACAGATCCCTGTGGCATGCCATTATTTAGTTTTCTTATCTTACTTCTCGAATTTCCCAGGATAACTTGAAAGGGTCGGTTATTTAACATCTCGTCAATGATCTTAACTATTTTTAAGCAGGGTATCACTCGAAGCAACTTATAGATTAAGCTATGCCACCAGACAGTGTCATATGCTGCAGTAAGATCGATGTATAGGCAGATGTTTTTAGTTGTCTTTGGTATCCAGCTTCTATGAAAGTTATAAGGGCTAGTACCTGCCTGGTCTGTACAGCTCCTATTTTGTCGAAAACCAGCCTGCTCTACCGACATGTTTTCAAAAATTGTATTACTTAGTCTGTTGTAAATAAGTCTCTCTAAATGCTTATACATCACACTCAGGAGTGAGAGAGGTCGATAACTCTCTGGTCTATTATTAAGTTTTCCAGGTTTCAAGATAGCTATGGTTTTAACTTGTTTCATCTTCTAAGCAGGGACGACACGACACCTTTCTACTTGACTTTGTAAAATCCAGACTTTGAACAGTGTTCATCCATTTAAGGCTCCTGGTAGCATCTAAGCCATGAAGTAGCTCAAGATCACCAGATTCTTATACAGAGATTCACTTTTTTCACTCCATCCAGGGATGTATATCTTGCGATAGCCTCTAGGTATACATTTCTTGGTTACACTAAACAGTGCTCCGATAAACCTTTTAAAGTTGTTGGGTGTAGGTGGAATCCACCCCAAACATTTGTCAAGATTTTCAAAGAACAACGTCCAGTTAGCCTTAAATCGGGCGATCTGACGTCACGTTTAGTAGAAAACCGAAACGTATGCGTTAAAATCTGGCAACACTTATTAACCCGCAGATTCAAAACAACCAAGATGGACGACGATCGTGTGATGTATTATCGAATGCTATCGATAACTGTATGCTTAATAGGTTTAGTTCTGTCTTTCTATGCCTACCACGTGGAAACTAAGAAGGAAAAAGACAAGAAATATCGAGCTATGTGTGATATCAGCGGACATATGAGTTGTTCTGCTGTATTCAATTCTAGGTCTGTTAACAATTCTAGATTTGTTTAAATTAAGTTCGATTCATGTAGATATTTTCACGAAAATTACCTGTCGATCTATAATTACTTCATTAGAAAAACATTATAAATATACATCTGTAACTTCATGCTACACCTACACACACGTGCAATACACTGTGTACACGTGTTAACGATGCGTGTATAACTCAGCAAATTTTTAAAGTATTGTATATTCAAGAATTTACTGAATCATACATGACTTATTAACACGTAAAAAAGTGTTAATAAGTCATGAATCACGCATGAATCAGTTAAGAGTACAGAGTCAAAAGTAAACTAGCTCTGAATGAGACGTTTGGGACCTTACCGGAGCTGTAGAGCAGTGGTTCTCAACCTTTTTTGTTGATGTACCCTATTAGCCCATTAGTTGTTTCTCAAGTACCCCTTATATTTTTGCATGTAAATTTTATAATTACTGCGTTAGATGTATACAGCCCTTATAACTGAGCACCATAAAAAACTCTAACTAACTAGGCCAAGGTATAAATAAATACATTTCAGCCAGCTATATATAATATACTTATCAAATAATAACACAAGAAGTGTTAATAATTTATAGCAAATTGATTAACATATGCCATTTTATAATGAAAGTTAGATGTACAGTACCCCTTCGATTTATGCTCGTACCCCTAGGGGTACATGCATAAATTGAGAACCACTGCTGTTAGCATACCTACAGGAGCAACCACTGCTGTAGAGCATACCTACAGGAGCAAAAAACTCAAAGGAATCGTACCTCTACAAGCGACCTTTTGTGAGATAGCCCCGAAAATTAGGTTGCACGAGATCATGAGTTGTGTCACTCCACTAAGACTATCGTGTTTAACTATTTTGCATAACTATGCTGGCTTTGAGTAACCCACTTCATTGTTTGTGGAGTACTTGACATTGGGTACGTTCGTAAAGTCGAACGACTTAAACGTGTTAGTAACAGATCGTTCTAAAAGTAGTAGTCTTGCTCAGTGCGCATGCTCATGCTTTGAACGAAATTCTAATGAAGTTCACGAAGGGAAGAGTTAGTTCACTTCGTTAAGAAAATGGCGGCCGACGATATCGATGTTTCTAAATCTACTAGAGTGTTTAAACTGTGAATTAAAAGGTGAAATAATAGAAATAACTGTCCACCCAAAGCAATCTAAGAAAAATATTTCGGATAAGGCTGCACTAGCAACATTCATATCTTCGATTTTAGAAACAGCCATGTAGTTATAAATGAATTGTTCGAAAAGTCTAATGAAATAACAAGAATAACATCATCGTTATTCTTGTTTAACTAGTTTGACTTTACCAACGCACCGATTATATAGTTTTAGGGGGGTGTGGGGACTCACCCCCACCTGGGCGCCGAGATACGAGCAATAGCGAGCACTGAAGTGCACAACTACATGCGGAGCCTTGACGCAGAGCATGGAGAATACGCAGTATACTGACCTTTGGAGGCAAATATCTCATGAAGGGTTGCATGTACAGGTGATGTTCCTTTGATTTCTGCTTATACAAGGGGGTCTACAATTCAGGAGGTTGAAAAACCCCTCGTTCAGAGAGCTTGAATCTTACCTTGTTGTATCTGTAACTCAGTACTTTCTGAAGAAAGTCTTTGCTTATAACAGTTTAATTTCTCAATTTATTCTTCATTATTTCCTATAAATGTTCGATTGAATTTAAATCAGTAGAACTGTGATTATCAGAATGCCTATTAACCAAACCACCGCTTGCCCTTCTTTCTTTCCCACTGATGTCACACTGCAGTTCTCTTAGGTCATGCACCTATTTACTGGTAGGATGCAACTCGCACATTGATGAATAAATACAGTACATGCACAATATTGTACCTCTGTCCTGTAACTTCATTCTTTACACGTTATTCGATTTATCCGAATCACATGCAGAATGAATCAGTTNTCTTAGTGTCTGCAGGGAGAAGTTAAAAAAACCATTTATTTAAACAAGACTAAATAAATTAAATGCATTTCTAAATATACATTATTAGTTCTACTTTCCTAGCTGTTATATAAAAAAATCATGCTAAATTTGACCCTCCGAGTTTTTTTTTTTTTTTTTTTGCAAATCTCCATGTTTTGAGGCCTTCTAAACCCCCAAAAAAGGAAAAATCTTTCGTGGTCACTACCCCCCCCCCAAATTAAGCTTTTTGCCATTTGATAATATTTAAAAAGTTATAAGAAAAGGTTTCTTCTTCGGATAGCGAGACTAGTGATAATTACCACGTCTTTCTTAATTATCCGCAATTAACAGAGACAAAGATTAAAACAGTTCACTTTGTTTCACCTATTTAACAACGCATTTCGGATTAGTAATTTTCCAATCCCTTTTCTGGCACACGGCTTCAATGTCTAATGTTGTCTACAACATAATAAACGAAAGCTTAATTCACGTTAATATAGTTGTCTAGAATGACGCATATAGTGCACAATTTGTACACATCCTAATGGTGCAGTTTCTACATATCAGTCTCTTTCATTTACCGGCATGTTTTCTTTGTCTATTTTTGACAGAAAAATGCAATATTTCTTCCATTTCCCACCATTAATAGCTCTTTATTACCTCTTAAAAGGATTTTAACTTCAAAAAATATTGTTATATTGAGGGTTAAGTACAGTAGACCCCTATAACGCGGAGATACGTTCCTCGTTATACGAATTTCGCGTTGTAGGAGTCCTTAAATACGTGAGCCAATCGCAGCCCGACACGTGTGAAGTTTACGGACTACGGCTGTTTGAAACGTTTTCTTCCATAAAATTAATCGATTCTAGACTAATTCGACTCAACATTTCCAAAACACGTATAATTTTTTGGGAATAATCCGTATAAACTATGCTATATACAAAAAATTGTGGGATTACTTACCGAGTGTGCACCGTTCGACGTCGCCATTGCTTAAGCTTGTTTTCGTCGCGGACCAGTGCACCAAACTGCGGCCGCGATTTCTGATGTTATTTTTCTGCGAAAACTTCGTTGAACTTTGGAGACATCATTAATATAAATAATTTTTATGGCCGTTGAATAAGAAATGTTTCTTTCACAAGAAATGTATAAAATTACAGTACTGTATTAGACTTACGGTACCTAATTTAATACTGTACAGACGATAGTAAACAACTTACTCGCCTAAACTCTCCGTAGCGTGGCGCTAGACGGCGGAAAGTATATATATAATTGTAATGAAGTTACAATAAATTAAGTTAATATATAATTATAGTAGCTGACCCGGCAAACGTTGTTTTGCCATATAAATTATTTTTAGGTAATTTCTAGTGTAGACAAAAAATAACTAACTTATTGTAAGTGTGTAAGGATGTGGTATATGCGTGAAATAGGCATGGAGCGCTGTGAACGATGAGGGAATATAAAAATAACAAATGGCAAACATTATTATTTTTAAGTTATTATAATTTATTCCTTAAAATTATATATCATTAATCAATTACGACAGTAACACTAACAAACAATATCAATTTCTTAATGCTATAGCGTGAACAATATTTTTTGTTAGCCCATCTTTAGCTAACACAAACAAACTGGATGGTTTACCCACTCGAGAGCATGCCACGTATAATTGTCCGTGTGAAAAACATGGTGTGCTCAAATCTAAGCCACAAATAGACATCGTTTGGCCTTGGGATTTGTTGATAGTCATTGCAAATGCCAATCTAATCGGAAACTGAATACGTTTGAATTGAATTGGCACATCTGTAGGTATAATAGGAATCCGTGGTATTAATATATTTTCACCTCGGAACTTGCCATTTAAAATGCTGGCTTCGATAACGTTTTTCATTAATTTTTGAATGACTAATCGCGTACCGTTGCACAGCCGTGGCGGGTTCAAATTACGAAGCAAGATAATCGGAGATCCAACCTTCAATTGTAAATTATGCGGTGGCATGCCTGGCAAATGCAGTAAGTTCAAAAACTCTGTGGGAAAATTTACAGCTTCGCTGGCATCGCAAACTGTATCAATAGATTTGTATGATACCATGTTCCCTGGCAACAACTGTTGTATCTTCAGATTTAAATTGTCAACGTCTACATTTTTTGCCGCTAAAATTGCTCTTTCTGCAAGCCACTCATGATTTATGTACTGTGTGTGTATATCGGGAAATATTTGTTCAATGAGAGTATCTTGCGAATCAGCGATTGTGCAGAAATCGGTCGGTAATTTTACGTATCCAGTTTGATCTATAGCAACTTTTCCATCACCGATATTTAAGAGTTGTTTTGAGAATGTTTCAGCGGATGGATCTTGAAGCATTTGAACGCGCATATTTACTTTCAGCTGTAGTTTTTCAACATTACGCCACAATGGAGATGATTTTAAGCAAGCGTTGATCTCATCAGCGTATGTTGAACGTGGAATGACGGGAAGTGTTTGTCTGAAATCTCCTGAAAGGACCAACAGAGTGCCACCAAATAGTTTGTCGTTGTTTTTAATATCTTTCAATGTCCTGTTCAACGCCTCAAGCGAATGTTTGTGTGCCATAGTACATTCATCCCAGATGATAATTTTACACTGTATCAGCACGGTGGCCATGGACGATTGTTTTTTAATGTTGCATACTGCGTCAGGGTTATTTTGAATATTTAGTGGCAGCTTAAATACTGAATGAGCTGTTCTGCCTCCATCCAATAAAGTTGCCGCAATGCCCGATGATGCAACGGCCAATGCGATGCCATTATTTGATCGTATTTCAGCAAGAATTAGCGAAATAAGGAATGTTTTGCCAGTTCCACCCGGTGCATCCAAAAAGAAGAACCCACCTTGTCCTGCTGAAACTGCGAGCATAATGCGGTCATAAATGGTTCTTTGTTCGTCATTCATTATTTAAAAAAAATGTTAAGGGTGAACAACCGTTATCACTTAGGGGTATGAAAAATAGATAGTAGCCGATTCTCAGACCTACTGAATATGCATATAAAATTTGGTAAAAATCGGTAAAGCCGTTTCGGAGGAGTAAGGTAACTAACATTGTGACACGAGAATTTTATATATAAGATTAATATATAATTATATGTACAGTACCTAATTTATATACTGTATAATACTGTACAGACGATAGTAAACTCAATTTACCCGCCTAAACTCTCCGTAGCGTGGCGCTGGACGGCGGAAAGTAGTTCGGCTGCTCGTCCGCGATGACGAGTTGGCGATGACGTTTTACCGCGTTTTACGCGTCCCTTTTAGCATCTTTATACGAATATTGTCGCAATTTTTTTGCCGCGTTATAGGAATCTACGTTATAGGAACTCGCGTTATAGGGGAGGTCTACTGTACTATACTTAACACTTTAAACTCTGATCTTACCTTCTTTATAATAATTAAATAAAATCTAGAAAATAGCTAAATTCGAGATGAACCAATCTAGATTTTTATCACTCATCTAATTCCCTAAATCTGAAATCTAGAGGCAAACAAAACAATGTAGATTTAAACGAGAAAAATAGATTGTAAAATGACAATACTGTTCAACGTGTAGTGTTGACTTCAATGTTTTGACTTGAAATAAAATGGGGCTTCGATAATACCTGTCGTTGCCAACAAGAGCGCTGTATCTAAAGTCACAGCCACTCTAACCATACGTTTCTAAATTCAACGCTTGAACAATCTGACGTCACGTTTAGTAGAAAAACGAAACAATTGGCAACACTTAACCCGCAGATTCATTGTTCAGTTGAAAAGATGTGCATTGTCCAGGAGATACTACAGATTATTTGGACGCCAAAAATTGTTCACAAATAGACGTTATCCAGGATGCACCACGAGGAGGCGAACTAGCTTTACACCCCTTATTTAGCGTATGGCTACACATCTAATTATTAAAAAGAACACAAATCACAGATGTAAATCTAAGTCAAAAACATAGTTTAGAGCACTTTCGGCTACAATCAGGAAGTCATTCAGTTTTTCTGTATAGGATCTTATTGAACAATCTTCCAAAATATGACGTATAGTCTGTCTTTCAGCACCACAATCACACTGTGGGGATGCAACTTTTCGCCATTTAAACAGATTGTCTCTGCATATCCCATGTTTTGTCCGAATTCTATTCAACACACCAAAAATTTCTGGATAATTCAAAACCAGGTGGTCTCTTTGTGATACAAGGGAGTTGTTGACCTTCCATTGGAGAGACATCGGCCCATAGCCTTTTCCAAGATTCAATATGGTTGAAATTGCTGGAATTCAAGGACTTAGCTCTTAAGAGAGGAGAGATGTCTCGATTTAAGTCGATTTACGATGAGGTCATCGATATCCTGATGAATTGGAATTGTGGATTGCACAATATTTTCCTATATTCCATGAGCAGAGCGTCATCCCTTCGTAGTACAGGCGGGGGATATGACTCAAAATAGGAGTAGATTTAATAGTACCTGTTATGATGCAGGGTAATATTTAATTGGGTGTCTAGTTTTTTAATGTGAGCACTGTTTATCCATACGGTCAAAACTAAGGCAAGAGCAGAGATCCGTAAGGTAGACGCTGAAGAGCCCCATGTAGTTCCACATAATTTTTAGAGGATGTTGTTTCCGGTATTGACCTTAGCAGCAGATTCATCAGATGTGTTTTAAACGACAGAGTCCTGTCCAAAGTGACACCAAGTTATTTCGGGTTCTTATTATATTTCAGTAGATTGTTATAGTCCTAAGGTAGATAAATCTTCTGTCAGTGTCTTCTCAGTTATCGCAAGGTCTTTTGTCTCGTGGCAATCACCCAGTAATCTGCATATCCAAATTTCCTTGCATTTTTTTCAGGCAAGTCAGCTATGTAAAGACTAAAAAGTAGTGGTGCCAGGACAGATCCCTGTGGCATGCCATTATTTAGTTTTCTTATCTTACTTCTCGAATTTCCCAGGATAACTTGAAAGGGTCGGTTATTTAACATCTCGTCAATGATCTTAACTATTTTTAAGCAGGGTATCACTCGATGCAACTTATAGATTAAGCTATGCCACCAGACAGTGTCATATGCTGCAGTAAGATCGATGTATAGGCAGATGTTTTTAGTTGTCTTTGGTATCCAGCTTCTATGAAAGTTATAAGGGCTAGTACCTGCCTGGTCTGTACAGCTCCTATTTTGTCGAAAACCAGCCTGCTCTACCGACATGTTTTCAAAAATTGTATTACTTAGTCTGTTGTAAATAAGTCTCTCTAAATGCTTATACATCACACTCAGGAGTGAGAGAGGTCGATAACTCTCTGGTCTATTATTAAGTTTTCCAGGTTTCAAGATAGCTATGGTTTTAACTTGTTTCATCTTCTAAGCAGGGACGACACGACACCTTTCTACTTGACTTTGTAAAATCCAGACTTTGAACAGTGTTCATCCATTTAAGGCTCCTGGTAGCATCTAAGCCATGAAGTAGCTCAAGATCACCAGATTCTTATACAGAGATTCACTTTTTTCACTCCATCCAGGGATGTATATCTTGCGATAGCCTCTAGGTATACATTTCTTGGTTACACTAAACAGTGCTCCGATAAACCTTTTAAAGTTGTTGGGTGTAGGTGGAATCCACCCCAAACATTTGTCAAGATTTTCAAAGAACAACGTCCAGTTAGCCTTAAATCGGGCGATCTGACGTCACGTTTAGTAGAAAACCGAAACGTATGCGTTAAAATCTGGCAACACTTATTAACCCGCAGATTCAAAACAACCAAGATGGACGACGATCGTGTGATGTATTATCGAATGCTATCGATAACTGTATGCTTAATAGGTTTAGTTCTGTCTTTCTATGCCTACCACGTGGAAACTAAGAAGGAAAAAGACAAGAAATATCGAGCTATGTGTGATATCAGCGGACATATGAGTTGTTCTGCTGTATTCAATTCTAGGTCTGTTAACAATTCTAGATTTGTTTAAATTAAGTTCGATTCATGTAGATATTTTCACGAAAATTACCTGTCGATCTATAATTACTTCATTAGAAAAACATTATAAATATACATCTGTAACTTCATGCTACACCTACACACACGTGCAATACACTGTGTACACGTGTTAACGATGCGTGTATAACTCAGCAAATTTTTAAAGTATTGTATATTCAAGAATTTACTGAATCATACATGACTTATTAACACGTAAAAAAGTGTTAATAAGTCATGAATCACGCATGAATCAGTTAAGAGTACAGAGTCAAAAGTAAACTAGCTCTGAATGAGACGTTTGGGACCTTACCGGAGCTGTAGAGCAGTGGTTCTCAACCTTTTTTGTTGATGTACCCTATTAGCCCATTAGTTGTTTCTCAAGTACCCCTTATATTTTTGCATGTAAATTTTATAATTACTGCGTTAGATGTATACAGCCCTTATAACTGAGCACCATAAAAAACTCTAACTAACTAGGCCAAGGTATAAATAAATACATTTCAGCCAGCTATATATAATATACTTATCAAATAATAACACAAGAAGTGTTAATAATTTATAGCAAATTGATTAACATATGCCATTTTATAATGAAAGTTAGATGTACAGTACCCCTTCGATTTATGCTCGTACCCCTAGGGGTACATGCATAAATTGAGAACCACTGCTGTTAGCATACCTACAGGAGCAACCACTGCTGTAGAGCATACCTACAGGAGCAAAAAACTCAAAGGAATCGTACCTCTACAAGCGACCTTTTGTGAGATAGCCCCGAAAATTAGGTTGCACGAGATCATGAGTTGTGTCACTCCACTAAGACTATCGTGTTTAACTATTTTGCATAACTATGCTGGCTTTGAGTAACCCACTTCATTGTTTGTGGAGTACTTGACATTGGGTACGTTCGTAAAGTCGAACGACTTAAACGTGTTAGTAACAGATCGTTCTAAAAGTAGTAGTCTTGCTCAGTGCGCATGCTCATGCTTTGAACGAAATTCTAATGAAGTTCACGAAGGGAAGAGTTAGTTCACTTCGTTAAGAAAATGGCGGCCGACGATATAGATGTTTCTAAATCTACTAGAGTGTTTAAACTGTGAATTAAAAGGTGAAATAATAGAAATAACTGTCCACCCAAAGCAATCTAAGAAAAATATTTCGGATAAGGCTGCACTAGCAACATTCATATCTTCGATTTTAGAAACAGCCATGTAGTTATAAATGAATTGTTCGAAAAGTCTAATGAAATAACAAGAATAACATCATCGTTATTCTTGTTTAACTAGTTTGACTTTACCAACGCACCGATTATATAGTTTTAGGGGGGTGTGGGGACTCACCCCCACCTGGGCGCCGAGATACGAGCAATAGCGAGCACTGAAGTGCACAACTACATGCGGAGCCTTGACGCAGAGCATGGAGAATACGCAGTATACTGACCTTTGGAGGCAAATATCTCATGAAGGGTTGCATGTACAGGTGATGTTCCTTTGATTTCTGCTTATACAAGGGGGTCTACAATTCAGGAGGTTGAAAAACCCCTCGTTCAGAGAGCTTGAATCTTACCTTGTTGTATCTGTAACTCAGTACTTTCTGAAGAAAGTCTTTGCTTATAACAGTTTAATTTCTCAATTTATTCTTCATTATTTCCTATAAATGTTCGATTGAATTTAAATCAGTAGAACTGTGATTATCAGAATGCCTATTAACCAAACCACCGCTTGCCCTTCTTTCTTTCCCACTGATGTCACACTGCAGTTCTCTTAGGTCATGCACCTATTTACTGGTAGGATGCAACTCGCACATTGATGAATAAATACAGTACATGCACAATATTGTACCTCTGTCCTGTAACTTCATTCTTTACACGTTATTCGATTTATCCGAATCACATGCAGAATGAATCAGTTTGAATAATCGGAATTCTACTGTAATTGTTTTGGTATATGGTACAGGAGCCATTGCTTCACGATTTGAACTGTGTTTTGGGTTGTCTTGTTGAAAGACCTGGGAGTTTCACAGACCTAATTTTGTTATGTTTTTATTTAAATTTGTCTTCAATATGTTTAAAATAGCTGAAATGATCCATTTTAGAGTCTGTAAAAGCAAGTTCTTCTATATCTGAAGCTGCCATACGTCACCAAACCATTTGGGATCCTCCACCATACTTTACAGTAGACAAAATGTATCTATTTCTCTCACTAGTTCCAGTTATCACATTTCCAGTGATAGAGAACTGGAAACGTAATAACTTCATACCACTGAACCAAGAGATTCTGAATCTTCCATGTTTTACTGGATGCTGAAGATGTTCGCTGGTATGAAATTTACAGTGTACACTAGATTTTTTGCATGAAGATCAGAATTTGTAGTTCTCTAAATTTTGAATGTTTTTGAGATGCAAATACCACAAAATATTTGCATCTCAAGATATTCTCAAACTTTCCTAATATTCTGAAGGAGCACCTTTGAATCTTTTCTGAAATAACAAGTGCTTTTGATGATTTATTTTACTTATTGCTGGCATTTTTCTTGGTACTCTGACATGAAATTTGTGGGAATTCAGTGTTCTGATAGTAGTTGGACTAACTGGTGATATTTTCGCATTCAAGCACAAGTTTAACAACACTAGTGTTGGGATTCTGTTTAATTTTTTGAACTACAGCAGGAATGTTTACATTCAGTAGCTTCCTAGGTTATCTTGAACAAGTACAGTGGTGCCTCATATAATGTACGCCTTGAATAATGGACACTGCAAACAATGGACTTTCCATTTGGCAATTACGTGAGGCGAACAATGGACTTTCTGTGAACAAGTACGAATGATGTTTCCACTCTTTTGCCGTTGCCAATGACAATCTGCTATTTTTATATCTGAAGTACAGAGCTCCCATTGAATTTCAGCTTGCTCCCTTGTTTATTACGTACATCACCTCAGTGCAGGGTATTTACATTTATTCAAGTATTGTGTAAATCATTGCTTCTAAATAAACAGAAAGGTGATTTCAATTGAAACAAAGCAAGAAATCATCAGAAGGAGTGAAAATTGACAAAAAATTCCTTGTCAAATGGGGAGAGGTTCAGGAGTTTACCAACACTCGTTATCCAAACAGAGCTGAGGCCAAGAGGATCAATGATCTCTACAATGACACCCTTGCCCGTCATTTCCGACAGATGTTGAAAAAGAGAGAGAAACAGACCACCTTGGACATGTTTTTCAAGAAGCCAGCTGCCAAAAAACAAAGGATGGAACAAGAGGAGTTGACCCTGCAAGCTCCGGTAGCCTCTCCTGAATCTGACTTCGATTAAAAAACAATAAAAAGAGACCTGCTGCAATGTGTAAAAAGTCTGTATCTATATGAATGTGTGAAGAAAGTGTTCCTCCATGTCCTCCTCACAACATCTGACTATTTGGCATAATTAATAAGTACTCTATTTTCATTTTTTTTTATGGTGCAGTATGGTTATTTTATGCTGCGGAACGAATTATATGTTTTAACATGTATTTGTATGGAAAAATGTGTTTCGTATAACGGACTTTTCACTTAATGGACGTCCACCTGGAACGGATTAAGTACGTTATATGAGGCATCACTGTATATATTTTAACACTTTCTGTACAAAAATATCTTGTCATAATACCTTGAACTGTTGTAGTACTTTTCATGACAATACTTTCAGTGAAAGATGTTGGCATGTCTGCTGTGGCAATGCTGTGTAAAAGGCACACTGTGCAGTGCAAGAGACCAAGCAAGGGCAGAGCGTGACCAAAAACAATATGGTTATGAGGTACTCACTATTCAGTTAACAGCATAGGCTAGTGGTTGAAGTTGAAGTCGCAATTGACGGATGAAAATGGAGCGACGAACAACTTTGCTGTTCTATAAGCTTGACAAATTCACAAAAGAAAATCATCCAATGCTGAAGCCTTTGCTGAGTTTCTTTCTACATCTTAGTATGCTCAAGCAGGCTCTTGTTCCTTCTTCATGACAGTGCCAGACCTCATATAGTCGTGCAGCAGATTTTGGTTAAAAAGGGGATTCGTCATTTGCACAGTATCCATATTCACCTGATATGGCTCCATAAATGTTTCCATGACTGAAAATCACTCTAAAAGGCAAGAGATTTGCCAACATTTGACACAATGTATGAGTGAATTGGATGGTATCTCTAAAGAGGACTTTGTCTGCAGTTTTCAAGACTTTTATACTTGTTTTAAAAAGTGTATTTGCCACGAACTGGGACTACTTTGCAGGACAATAAGGTATATTTGCTGAACTAATCAATGTCTTCCTATTCTGAACTTGTTCACTGTAGTTTATTGTCAGAGGTTGTACATTATGCTAACTGTAATGGTTGTATTTTATGACTATTTTTAATGAAAATATCACTCTTTGAACAATGCAATTTTTAAATTAAATCAGCTAGCGAGTGCACACTGTACAGTCATTAATGATTTGTAAGTTTGTCTTTAATCATAAATACACAAGCAATTCATTTGCATACTGCAGTATATAGTTTTTAGTGATGGGGATTTTTTAGTAAATTGATTTATACAATTATATAGAATGAAAATGTATGGTATAATTGGTCTGTTTGATTTTTATGGAGGTTTTGAATTTTATCATTGATCAATCTTATTTCTATACTCTAGAATGAAAGAGAAAAATTCATGTTACTGCAAGACTATGCTAGCAATAGCAAAAAATAAAAAAGACAATCCATAATCTGATGTCAAAAGTCATAGAATTCTTTTGTTCACTGTCTTGCCGATGTCCATTTTTGTTCATTAAGTACCACATCGTTAGCCTATCATATTTGAATTTCAAATGAAATATGATTGGTTGGTCTATTGTGTGAGCAAAATGTACGTAGTTGATGACCATTGTTGTACCTATCAGACTCGACAGTCCCTAAAATTTTATGCTCGTCAGTGGCTGAGTGGATAAAACTACTGAACTTTATTT